GAGGGGCCGTTCTGTGGGCAGGAACCAGGCCCTACCAGGGGATTCCCCAGGGCAGTGCAGCTCTCGATGACAGTCCCCCAACCTCCACCCCAGGCACAGGCTGCAATGCCTGCTACATGGAGGAGATGCAGAATGTGGAGCTGGTGGAGGGGGACGAGGGCCGCATGTGCGTCAACACCGAGTGGGGTGCCTTCGGGGACTCCGGCGAGCTGGACGAGTTCCTGCTGGAGTATGACCGCCTGGTGGACGAGAGCTCTGCGAACCCCGGTCAGCAGCTGTAAGGATGCCCCCTCCCCCACAGCCCAGGCCCTGGGCCACTCTGGCACAGCGGCAGATGGGAGCTGGCCACTACAGATAATGGGCTTGTTTTTAAACAACTCTGGGGAAAAGCAAACTGACAATCCATTCGTAAGTTCCACCCCTTCTGCTCAGTCATGACCTGCCCTGTAAAAGGTGAAGGGTTAGTCCCAGTTGTGATTTGAGGAGCCCAGATCTCTCCTTCTGACAGGTGATCTTGTGCATAGAGGAGGCTCTGAGACGCCCCAGCAAGGTTTCTGGGTTTAACCCAGTGTTCCCCAAAATATATATTTGGCCACATTCACAAAAAGAGTATTCGTCTTTTGTGGAATGCTGTGGGTGGGCAGTCACAGCCGGGAAACCAGCCCACACAGAACTCGTCATTAATCACAGCTGTCACTTGTTAACTGCCTACTGTGCCAGGCCTGGGCTAATTACTTTATTAGCGTCCTCTCTGCCGCTCACACGGCTCTATTATTATAGGCCAGTAGTATTCCATTTATTTAAGTTAAATACGGAAGGTCATAGGTTAAGCATGGAAACGCCAGCAACGTGGTGCTTGCCTCCCACCGGGCACTAACCCTCCAAGCCTTAGCTTTCCCAACCATAACTGGCCAATGAACAGCAGCTCCAGATGCGGCTAAAGGAGGACTGATGCTATAGATCCTGTGCTCGGCGCAGGTCCCCTGCAAGGAAGGTTTCAGAGGGATTGGACAGGGTCTTTGTATCTGTCTCCCTTTACTGCAGTGGGCCCAGAGGCAGGCCAAAGTTGCTCCCGTGATTGAGCTGAACATGCACGTTCCTAATCCCTGACGTTTCCAAAGCTCTGGCTCATTAATAGTGGAAAAGACAAGGACTGGATGGGGGAGTAGGGATCACGGTGCCCCACGTGGCCGCCTCGTGACCTCAGTGGGGAGCAGTGGGGCCGGCTCCCGGCTTCCACCTGCACAAGGGGCCCTCCCTCCTGCCGGCTGATATAATGGAACTGCCCTGTGTCCAGGTATGAGAAGCTCATAGGCGGCAAGTACATGGGCGAGCTGGTGCGGCTGGTGCTGCTCAGGCTCGTGGACGAAAACCTGCTCTTCCACGGGGAGGCCTCCGAGCAGCTGCGCACAAGGGGAGCCTTCGAGACGCGCTTCGTGTCGCAGGTGGAGAGGTGTGCGGAGTAGGACGGGTGCAAAGGGCAGGGGCTGGGGACGCTGGGGACGCTGGGGCACTGCAGACTTGGTCTTAGGGCGAGGCTGAGTCCCAGGCCCGGGGACGCAGGGGCTGGAAACTACGGCCTGGAGCGGGATCCCAGGCGTGGGCGTGGCCCAAGGTGGGGCAGTGGAGGCCAGGGAGGGGCACGGACGGGTCCAAGGGCAGGAGGCTGGGTCAGGACCGGGATGCAAAGGGAAGGGTCGGGGTCCCGAGACTGGGCGCAGAGGGCTGGCCCAGCGGCAGAAGGCGGGGTCCGACGGGGATGCCAATAGCAGGGATGAAGGCGAGCCTGCGACCCGGCAGTGGTCCCCATCCGTGAGTCCCCTCGGTGCTCCCTATCCGTCGTGGACACCCTCTCACATCACGCAAAGCCCCGAAGCGAGGCATGGTTGACAATCCCACGTTAGAGCGGAGACCTTGGGCTTAGTTAGAAGTAGTACTGGCCAGGTGACTGCTGGTCCCTGGCTTAACCGGGACCCTCTCTCCTCCGGACCCCAAGCCCCAAACGCTTTGGCTGGGTGAGGTGAGCAGTATCACCCCCATTTCTCCATGGAGGGGTCCCGCCTCAGCCAGGGAAAGAAGCAGCCGCTCTGGGGACGGCTGTCCGGGGCCCCTTCCTGGAGGAGAAGCCGCCGCTGGAGAGGGACCGACTGGCGGAGCGAGACTCAGCGATCGCCCTACCTCCTCCCTCCCCGCAGCGACACGGGCGACCGCAAGCAGATCTACAACATCCTGAGCACGCTGGGGCTGCGACCCTCGGCCACCGACTGCGACATCGTGCGCCGAGCCTGTGAGAGCGTGTCTACGCGCGCTGCGCACATGTGCTCGGCGGGGCTGGCGGGCGTCATCAACCGCATGCGGGAGAGCCGCAGCGAGGACGTGATGCGCATCACCGTGGGCGTGGACGGCTCCGTGTACAAGCTGCACCCCAGGTGAGCTTGGTGAGCCCGCTCCGGCCCCTCCTTGGTAAAGTGGGGCCCAAAAAGCGCTCTCTCTGAGGTTCCTTGTGGCTCCCAAGCTCCAAGAATTCGTAAGCCTCTTCTCCGGCCCCCTTGGCCTAGATTTGGGGGAAGGGTCGACTGCATTCAGGGCGCCCAGTGATGGCTGTGGAGGATGGGCTGGGAGGAGGGACGGCAGCTCTACTTCTCTTCTGCCCAGCTTCAAGGAGCGGTTCCATGCCAGCGTGCGCCGGCTGACGCCCAGCTGCGAGATCACCTTCATCGAGTCAGAGGAGGGCAGTGGCCGGGGCGCAGCCCTGGTCTCGGCTGTGGCCTGTAAGAAGGCCTCTATGCTGGGCCAGTGAGAGCAGAGGCAAGCACAGGGAGGATGCCACAGTTGATGGCACCCGACAGGGAAGTGCTCCCCACACGTGCTCCCAGCCTGATGGGGCAGGAGGCCTGGCCTTGTAAAGACCCTGGCTGCCTGCCATCCCGCTAGGGAACCCTGAGTCATTCGGTGGGACAGCCCCAGAGCCCTAACAGGGGTGCAACAGGAGCAGGGACAGAGACTCTGGAAGCCCCCCACCTTTCTCTTGGGAATCAACTTCCCAGAAGGGAGTTGCTCACTCAGGACTTTGTTTCATTTCCACACTGTCAGAGCCGTGGCCTCGCCTGGGCCTGGGCTCTGAGAAGGGAGTGCCTCTGGACCCTGCTGTGGCCTGACTTCCCTAAGAACTCATCCTGTGTGGAGAGGCAGCTCCAACAGCTTGACCAGACCTAGACCTGGGCCAACAGGGCAGCCAGGGGCTGCTGATCATGCAGTCCTGGCCATTTTCTTGCCTAAGGCTCAAGAGGCCCAGGGAGCAATGGGAGAGGGCTCCATGGAGGAGGCATCCCAAGCTTCAAATACCCCCCAGAGACCTTTTCTCTCCCATACCCCCATCCCTGAGTGGCTTGTGGCTCTGGAATGGACCCTCACAGCAGGTGCAAGAGACAGAGCCCCTAAGCCCCTGCCCCAAGGGGCCCACGAAGGGGAGAAGGGCCACTTTGCATCTTCAGCTCCCACAGCACTGGCTCAGGAAGAAAACCCAAACAGCATTCAGCACACCCCAAGGGACCACCCGGAACCCCATCATATGACATGCCACCCTCTCCATGCCCAGCCTGAGACTGCGTGGGTTTTTTAATTAAAAATTTTAAAAGTTTTAAAACATGGCCTGTCCACTGTTCTTTGACTTCTGTGTATAAGACTCTGGAGACAGTATATAGAGTCATCATCGCATGCATGAAGGCACTTCAGTGGCTGAGGTGTATCTCGGCCGTGCCTTTCAGACAGCTCCTCTGGCCAGCTGTGCCCAGGGAAGTGTGAGGAGCGACAGACCAGGCTGTAGGAACAAGAATGGGGTGCCATGGGGGATGGCAGAGCAGTGGACAGTATGCTGCCTGGCCCAGGTTCCTGTTTTCTGCCCATGGAATGTGTGCCAAGGGAGTGCCAGGCCAGGTGCTGCTCTGGGAAACTAGGGGGTGAGGCTGGTCCCGCTGCAGGTCAGTCTCAGCACTGTCCTGTCCAGTCAGGGCCACTTAGGTTTGACAGTGAGTGGAGGCCCAGATATATGTTGGATTTTTTTTTTTAAATGGAGTCTCGCTCTGTCGCCAGGCTCAAGTGCAGATCATGAGGTCAGAGCTTGAGACCAGCCTGGCCAACATGGTGAAACCCCGCGGGGCGGGGGTGGGGGGCTCCTCGTACAGCCCAGTTCCTGCTGGGTGGGACCTGGGATGGAGGAGACATGGATGCTCATCTTCCTGCCTCGGCCTCCCAGGGACAGACCCCGAGGAAGCCATCCTGAGTGCCTTCCGCATGTTCGACCCCAGCGGCAAAGGGGTGGTGAACAAGGATGAGTAAAATACAAAAATTAGCTGAGCGTGTTGGGTGCCTGTACTCTCAGCCACTGGGGAGGCTGAAGCAGGAGAATCACTTGGAGCCTGGGAGGTGGAGGTTGCAGTGAGCAGAGATTGCACCACTGCACTCCAGCCTGGCCACAGAGCAGCAAGACTCTGTCTAAAAAATTAATTAATTAATTTTAAAAAGAAAGAAGAAAAACACTGGGCAAGGTGGCATGCACCTGTAGTCCCAACTACTCCAGAGGCTGAGGCAGGAAGGAGCGCTTGAGCCCAGATCATCTGCAGTGAGCTCCACTCAAGCCACTGCACTCCAGCCTGGATGACAGAGGTCAGTGGCTCACACTGGTAATCCCAACACTTTGGGAGGCTAAGGCAGGCAGATAACCTGAGGTCAGGAGTTTGAGACCAGCTTAGCCAACATGACAAAACCTACTAAAATAAAATACAGAAATTAGCTGCATGTGGTGCCAGTTGCCTGTAATCCTAGCTGCTTGGAAGGCTGAGAAATGAAAATCGCTTGAACCTGGGAGGTGAAGGTTGTAGTGAGCCGAGATCGTGCCAGTGCACTCCAGCCTGTGCAAGAGTGAGACTCTGTCTCAAAAAAAAAAAAAAAGAATTTAAGAAATTTAAAAGAAAACCCTTGTTGTATAAAAAGGGTATTGGGTCTGACAGATGAGACCTCTGGCCCTTTACCAGCCAGCTACTGACAGACATGGGTCTGGCCCCAGGGGAGTGGGAGTGGCCAGTGAGCCCAGCCTGGGTGGCCCACTCCTGCTGCCTCCAGGATGTCCCCTTTGTCCCCAGCCCTTCTGTTGTGTCCTCAACCCCAGAAGCTGGTGAGGCTTTCTTGGAACAGCACCACGCAGCCCTGCCCATCTGCCCGCTGTGCACCAGGCCTTCTGGGGATGCAGATGACAACCCGGCTGGATGCTCAGGAGGAGTACAGAAGCCAGAAATGACAAACACAGCAGCCACTGGGCAAATGGGAAACGTGCCCCAGAAGGTCCCCACTGAGGAAGTTAGGAAGAGCTTTTTGAAGGAATATGATTGAGATGGGGCTTGAGGAAGGCAAGGCTCCAAACAGCACAGCAGAGGGCAGCTGATGGAGCGCCTTCACCCTGCAGAACTGCCCCAAAGCCAAGCAATGTTCTGTCTGGGGTCACAGCTAGCTCAGGGATGCCTTCTGCCCCTTGGTCAGAGGGGCAAAGGGACAGAGCCTAGGGTCACCAAAACCTCTGGGAAACCCTTGGGGGGGTCTCTGGCCACAGACCATCTTCAGAACTACCCACTGCCCTCCCAAGCCTGGCGGGCACCCTGGCGGGACCGGCCCTCCCCAGCTGTCCTCTTGCACTGGCTAGTGTTCTGACTGGACCGGCAAAGGGGTGGTCAGATACGGGGGTAACTGGATCCCTTCATCAGCACCTGGGGTGGTGAGAGCTTCGAGCCTGCTCTGCTCTGGGCAGACATTGCACTTAGCCCTGCCAGGACTGATAGACACCAGGATGTTACACAGTGAGGACATGAAGGTCATCAGGAATGTGGCTGGAATCTATTAGGGCCTTCGTCCACCCCCAGCCCATGCGGGGGCTGCCAATTTTGGGCCTGTCCTCTGTTCCTCTCCTTATTTGGACCTTCAGGTGATAAGGCCGAGACATAAAGGAGGCTGGGCCCTGCCCCCACGGCAGCAGCCACATCTCTGCAGAGAGAATGGTAAGTGCCTGCTGGGGAAGAAAGGCTGGTGGTCTCCCAGGTCCTGGACGTTGGGCTGGAGTAGCAGAGTTTTCTGTGCTTGCACTGGGTTCAGGGTGGTCCCCAGGGAGAGGAAGAGGATCCTGACCCTGACTCTTCTGGGAATGCTCTGGGACTGTGCATGATGGGTAGCGTGGGGAGACTTTGAGGAGTCGGGGAGAGGACCCTTCCCCAAGCACGGTGTTACAGGCCAGCAGGAAGGCGGGGACCCGGGGCAAGGTGGCAGCCACCAAGCAGGCCCAACGTGGTTCTTCCAACGTCTTTTCCATGTTTGAACAAGCCCAGATCCAGGAGTTCAAGGAGGTGAGTGCCCACTCCCAACAGCCTGGTTCCCTGTATCGGACCCCCCCAACCCCACCCCGCATACACACCTTACATACACACCCCACTTCTACCCTGACCTTGACCCTCACACTGCCCAGGCCTCTTCCCTGCCTCCCACCTTCCCTAGAGCTGGGGGCTGCTCCCTCCTGAAGGCCCCCATCCATAGGCCTTCAGCTGCATCGACCAGAATCGTGATGGCATCATCTGCAAGGCAGACCTAAGGGAGACCTACTCCCAGCTAGGTGCGTGCACTCACCTCCTACCCGGCCCCACCCTGCACACCAGGGCCCCTGCTTGGAGCTGCAGGGTGGGTGGGAGTGGCTGGGGGGACAGCACCCTGGTCCCCTGCTTCCCCTCCTCCCCGTCTCCTCACACTGCCCTTCCCCTCTTGTCACACCTTCCTTCAATTTCACCTCCCCAGCCCCTGTGGCCAGGATGGAGGGAGGGCAGCCTGGGCCCTTCTGGGGAACACCCAGGGTCCCTGTGTGCACCGAATTCCCCACCCCCACCAGGGAAAGTGAGTGTCCCAGAGGAGGAGCTGGATGCCATGCTGCAGGAGGGCAAGGGCCCCATCAACTTCACTGTCTTCCTCACACTCTTTGGGGAGAAGCTCAATGGTGAGCCTTGGCCACGCAGCAAGCCTGCACCCTGCCTGAATCCCATCTAAACCCTAACTGAACCCCACTGGACCCACCTGGACGCTTCCTGGCCATGGTCCATTCAAAGGATGTGGGCCCCGCCCCTGCACATCCTCTGCCCCAGAATCCCATGTGCACTGGTCACCCCAGTGCTGACTTGGGGTCAGGAAATGTGCCTTCAGCCTCCACTCCCAAATTCCAATCTCCCAGCAAGCTGCTCACCTCAGGATAATGACTATTCCCAGCCCCACAGATCCCCACTTTATATCAGGGAATGGCCCTGCCTCTCCTGGGATGCGGGGCGGGGGTGGGGGGCTCCTCGTACAGCCCAGTTCCTGCTGGGTGGGACCTGGGATGGAGGAGACATGGATGCTCATCTTCCTGCCTCGGCCTCCCAGGGACAGACCCCGAGGAAGCCATCCTGAGTGCCTTCCGCATGTTCGACCCCAGCGGCAAAGGGGTGGTGAACAAGGATGAGTAAGTGTGGGCCCAGGACGATGAGGGGCACAGTGGTGGAGGCAGAGAGGGGGATGAGGCCCCTTGAGAGGGGGGCTGCCAGTACTTCGGGGCCTTCACTGCTATCTGGGGCACAGCCAGCCCTTCCCTGCACCAAGGGAGCCTCCATACCCACCTTTCCTGTGCAGTCACTCCCCTGCAGTCTTCTCCTCAGACCCTCCTCACTCCCCACAGGTTCAAGCAGCTTCTCCTGACCCAGGCAGACAAGTTCTCTCCAGCTGAGGTGAGGCTGCCCAGTGCCTTCAATACCCCTCCCCAGCACCTTCTCTGGGCCCTCACCCATGACCAGTACCAGTGAGGCAGTTGCTGAAAGGGTGACGCCTTTTTGGAGGAGGTGCCATCTCTGTTGAGACCTAGAAGGTAAAGATGTGGAGTCAGAAAAGAGAGCAGGGTGTGCTGCTCTCCCTGCAGGGAGGGAGACTGTGCACAGCCCCAGGGGTGGTGGTGGGAAGTGCATGAGGAGAGGTTTCATACACTTGGGGTGGGCCTGTGCCTGCAGCTGGAAGGACACTCTTTGCCCCTTGGCCCCTGTTTGCACTGACTCCTCACTCTGCTCAGAGTCAACCAACAGAAAAACAGTAACCCAGAGTCTGGAGTCTGGGCTTGAAAAGCTAAGGCAGAAAGCACAGGTGCAGGGGGCAGGCAGAAGAGCCACAAGACTCAGGTCAGGTCTCTGCTGGGCTGGGCCAGGAGCCAGGGGAGGCCTCTCACCAGCGCCTCCCCCAGGTGGAGCAGATGTTTGCCCTGACGCCCATGGACCTGGAAGGGAACATCGACTACAAGTCCCTGTGCTACATCATCACCCACGGAGATGAGAAAGAGGAATGAGGGGCAGGACCAGGCCCACGGGGGCACCTCAATAAACTCTGTTGCCAAATTGGAATTGCTGTGATGTTTTGTCTGTGACAGATGGGCTGGGAACCAGCCAAGGGGATCCCAGGGTCCCAGTGCAGGCATCGTCCTGAACATGGCCACCATATACCGCCCAGGAGCTGGTCCCTCGCCAGCTCACTTTGGTTCATTCCAATGCTGCCAAGTGCAGTGTGAACTATGATCATGCCTAGTTTACAGATGAGGACACTGAGGCCCAGAGAGTGTGAGCATCTCGCCAAGGCCAGACCTCTAAAAGAGGAGATGGTGGGCACCTCCACCAAGCCCAGGAATGAGCCACAGGTGGGCACTGCCCAGCTACTTGGGGCTGTGCAGAGAAGAGGCTACTTGCTGGGCGCTCAGCAAACTCTCCCCAACAGCCCAGTGGGTGGGCAGTGGCCCTGGGACAACCCCCCAACCACACAGCCTCCCCTGGTCCACTGCCTGGACCCCACGGCACACTGGCTCAGGTGCCTCCCTGCATGGGCCCTTTGTGAAAGGCACAGAGGTACCCATTTGAAACACAACAACTTCTCATTGCAAATATAGGCAAGGCACTAAGACACAAGGAACGCAGACATTGAAGACCGGGCCAGGTGCGTGCAAAGTTTTAGAGGAAATGCCCAGAAACTGGCATCATGGAAGTGAGTGCCTACTCCCAGCAGCCCCAGACCCCATCCCGGCCCCCCAACCCCACCCCACATGCACACCCCACTTCCAAGCCCCTCAGGGTAAAAGGGTCAGACAGCTGGAGGGTGGGGAGATCACTTCTCAGGAGAGAAGAGTGTTCCCATCACCCTTCATCTGAGAACCCAGGAGCTGGAGGAGAGGGTGATCCTTATCATGAGTACCAGAGGAGTAGCAGGGCATGTCCAAAGCACCAGAGAGAGAGATAGAGACAGAGACAGACAGACAGGCAGCGACAGCTCAAACCTCAGCCAGACCCAAAGCTACAAACTCCTCGTGCAGTTGTCTGATAAGAGCTCTCAGCCTGCCTCCTCCCCTCGCTTCAAGCCTTGCTGCAATCCCTGCAACTGGGGGTCAGTGGGGAGGAGCTGAGCGAGAAAGGAGGGGCACCCCTTCCTGAAGGCCCCAAGAGGAAAGGCATTTTCACCCAGAAAGGTGGTCAGTTTTGATTTTATCTGGGGCCTGGCAATTTAATTACTAAGGTGAAATTTGAGACTTAAAGGAATTAAAGTCTTTTCTGTTGCTTAGAAGAGATTACAAAAGTCACAATCTGCCTGAGTTTCCACCCCAAGAGCAGGCCACCAGCCCACTCCACTGAGCATGCTGGGCCAGTGGGTGAACAACATCAAGTACCGGTAGTATTCTACCACGTGAGTCTGCTTGTTCAACAAGCTGACTTCATAAAGTAAGGGATCATGTTATAATCCAAGCTCTCCCAGATAAATTGTGAAAGACAGAAATGAACCAAAAAGATCATAGGTGTCCAGTTATCTGATTTGATGATTTCATGGGGTATCTGCTCCTTTCATAGCCTTTGAGCTGTTTCACAACTCTGCCAACTATTATTATTACTTTTTTTTTTTTGAGACAGAGTCTTGCTCTGTCACCAGGCTGGAGTGCAATGGCGCAATCTCAGCTCACTGCAACCTCCGCCTCCCAGGTTTAAGCAATTCTCCTGCCTCAGCCTCCTGAGTAGCTGGGACGAATTTTTATATTTTTTAGTAGAGACGGGGTTTCACCATGTTGGCCAGGATGGTCTTGATCTGTTGACCTCATGATCCGCCCGGCTCAGCCTCCCAAAGTGCTGGGATAACAGGCGTGAGCCACCGCGCCTGGCCTATTATAATTATTTTGAGACAGAGTATCTGTCTCTCTGTTGCCCAGGCTTGAGTGCAGTGGCATGATCTCAGCTCACTGCAACCTCCATCTCCCAGGTTCAAGTGATTCTCATGCCTCAGTCTCCTGAGTAGTTAGGATTACAGGTGTGCACACCATGCCTGGCTAATTTTTTTTTTTTTTTTTTTTTTTGAGACGTAGTTTCGCTCGTTACCCAGGCTGGAATGCAATGGCGCGATCTCGGCTCATTGCAACCTCCGCCTCCTGGGTTCAGGCAATTCTCCTGCCTCTGCCTCCTGAGTAGCTGGGATTACAGGCACGCACCACCATGCCCAGCTAATTTTTTGTATTTTTAGTAGAGATGGGGTTTTACCATGTTGACCAGGATGGTCTCGATCTCTTGACCTCATGATCCACCCGCCTCGGCCTTTCAAAGTGCTGGGATTACCGGCTTGAGCCACCGCGCCTGGCCCAATTTTTGTACTTTTAATAGAGATGAGGTTTCACTGTGTTAGTCAGGCTGGTCTCGAACTCCTGACCTCAGATGATACACCCACCCCAGCCTCCCAAAGTGCTGGGATTATAGGCATGAGCCACCAAGCCCGGCCACAACCATGGTTTTTCTCCATAGACATGCAGTTAAATGTTGTCCAGTGGAAGCACAGCTGATTTTTCCCTTCTCTGTGGAAGAAGCCAATATTTCATCTATTAAGCAAATTCATCTCAGCATTCCTGACTATCTACACATGGGCTGGCTCTTTGAATTCTTCTCTGAACCAGGCCCGATGAGCCACAAGATGGGCACTGCCCATCTCGTTGGATTGTCACATCTTATTGATTCCTACATGAATTCACAACTAAATAAAACATTTGGCAGTTGTCCACTCTGGGTGCAAGTCAAGATTTTGCCTTAAAAATATTATCCTTTCACACTCTGCTGTAGTTGTCTGATGAGGTTAGCCCTTTCCATAGCAGAACTGTATTAGTGTTATTAGGAATAAACTGAGGGTAGAATGTGGTGTGTGTGTGTGTCTGTGTGTGTGTGTGTGTGTGTGTGTGTGTGTGTGTGACAAAAGAGAGACAGAAGGATAGAGATAAACAGATGGGCACAGATCCAGGACATGAGTTCTGCCTATGCTGACCAACATGGCAGCTGCTGGCCACTTGAAATGTGCTAAGTGTGAGTTGGGATATGCTACAAGTGTAAAATGCACATCATATTTTGAAGATTTTATACAAAAAAAGAATGCAAATACCTCATTAATAACTTTCCAGCTTTCTATAGATTATATGTTGAAATGATAACGTTTTGGGTATTGGGTTATTACTAAAATTAATCTCACCTATTTCCTTTCACTTTTTAAATGTGGCTACGAGAATATTTAGAATTCCATAAGTGGCTTGCATTTCTGGCTTTCACTCCTGTTGGAAAGCACTAAGTTAGACTGCGTAGTATGTCTATGTAAGACTGCAGTTTCCAGGCCAGACACAGTGGCTCACACCTGTAATCCCAGCTCTTTGGGAGGCTGAAGCAGGCAGATCACCTAAAGTCAGGAGTTCGAGACCAGCCTGGCTAACATGGTGAAACCCTGTCTCTACTAAAATTACAAAAATAAGCCAGGTGTGATGGCACACACCTGTAGTCCCAGCTACTATGGAGGCTGAGGCAGGAGAATCTTTTGAACCCAGAAGGTGGAGGTTGGAGTAAGCCAAGATCAAGCCACAGCAATCAAGCCTGGGAGACAGAGCAAGACTCCGTCTCAAAAATAAATAAATAAATAAAAGACTGCAGTTTCTGGGAGACTCCAAGGCAGGCACCAGCCTTCTCTGCAGAGAGTGCTTGCGGCAGGGAGCCAGAGTTTTGATGTACTCGAAAGGAGCCAATTTCATTTGGGTGGGGTTGTCTCTGAGTGTTCTGGCAGTACAGACAAAAAGGAGAGAAGGCTGTTTCCAGGAAGCAGAGATCATACAAATTATTTGTGAGAACAGAATTTTTCCTCAGTTGAAGCTCAGGCATCCGTTATGTGTAGTGTCTAACAATCTACACCTGCGGATGGTGGACAGAAGGTGGTGCGAGGTGGGCATGGCTGGGGAGAGCTCTGGAAGCGGGGAGACCAGCTCCATGTTGTCCACCCACTGAAAGGAAAGCTCCCTCTGGGGGAGGTGGATGCTCCCGTGGCCAGGTCTGCAGGTTGCTGCTCACTGTGAGCCCTGTGTGGTCCTGGCCTGGATCCCACCAGCCACTGCCAGGCAGCAGCTCCTAGTTGGGTAACAGACATAAATACAACAGGTAACCAAGCATGATGGCTCACGCCTGAAATCCCAGCTACTTGGGAGGCCAAGGAGGGAGGACTGCTTGAGCCTGGGAGGTTGAGGCAGCAGTGAGCCAGGATTGTGCCACTGCACTCCAGCCTGGGTGACAAAGCAAGAATTTATTAAAAAAAAAAAAAAAAATACCGGGCACAGCCTTTGGGAGGCCAAGGAGGGCAGATCAAGAGGTCAGGAGTTTGAGACCAGCCTGGTCAACATGGTGAAACCCCATCTCTACTAAAAATATAAAAATTAGCTGGGCATAGTGGCCCGTGCCTGTAGTCCCAGCTACTCAGGAGGCTGAGACTGAAGAATTGTTTGAACCTGGGAGGCAGAAGCTGCAGTGAGCTGAGAACATACCACTGGACTCCAACCTGGGTGACTGAGCAAGACTCCGTCTCAAAAAAAAAAAAGAGAGAGAGAAAGAGAAAGAGAGAAATGCAATGGGACCAGGAGCGGTGGCTCATACCTGTAATCCCAACACTTGGGGAGGAAGACGAGGGAGGATTGCTTAAGACCAGTAACTCAAGGCCAGCCTGGGCAACATGGTAAAAACTCACCTCTTCAAAAAAAATTTAAAAATTAGCCTGGTGTGGTGGTACACACCTATAGTCCCAGCTATTTAGGGGGCTTGAGCCAGGTCCAGGCTTCAGCGAGCCATGAATGTGCCACTGCACTCCAGCCTGGGTGACAGTGAGACCTTGTCAGAAAGGAAAGAAAGAAGAGAAGGAAGGAAAGAAGAAGGGAAGGAAAGAAGGAAAGAAAAAAAGAAGGAAAGAAGGAAGGAAGGAAAGAAGAATGGAAGGGAGGGAGGGAGGAAGGAAGGATGGATACAGGACCCAAGGGGCCTAAATGCCCCGCTGTGCCCAAGTTCTGTGTGACTCAGGCCTGGCCTCCTCA